GCACCAGCCTAGCCCATACGCAGGCTCCAGGTCAACTGAAAAACCTTGTTTCATAAAACAAAGTGAATAACTCCTCAGGAACACACCTGATGTTGACCTCTAGTCTCCACATGCATGCGTACATACATATCCATACCCACACACACATGTACCCACATGAACATATACTCACAGGGACTGGAGAGATGGTTCAGTGGTTAAGAGCACTGGCTGTTCTTGCAGAGGACCCAGATTTGGTTCCCAGCACCCACATGGCAGTCAATAACCATCCATAACTCCAGTTTTAGGAGATCTGACACCCTCTTCTGACTTCCATGAGCATTGCATGACACTGGTACACTTACGTACATGCAGGCATGTATATGAGTATACTCATACACATAAAATAAAAGTAATAAAAGTAACATACACTCACACATACACACCCAAATAAAATAAAATGAAATTGAGGCTAGAGAGAACCTAGAACCCAGCAGAGGTCGGTACTTGCTATTTCTTATTTTACTTTTGTTGCTCTATGAGAGAAAGGAGTGTGTAGAGAATGTGAAAGTGATGTACTTGAAGAGAACAACAGTAGAGTAGCTGAGATTGACCTGTCTAGGGCAGAATTTGTCTCCACTGGATACTTCCAGATTGCTGTCCTTTTCACTTCTGCCAGAGTTTATTGGAATGCCTCCTTTGCATGTGTGTGAAGGAGCAGCCCCGATTTTCAGGACTTGTTCAGAAGAGGGTACAGCTGGAAGGTGTGTTTGTTAAAGTTCAAATGAGCAGGGATAAATGCAGGTGTGGTCAGGAACTATGGCTGGTTTGCCTTTCTTGGTTGGCATGAGGCCAAAGTCAACCAATTCAAGAATTGCGTCGCTGGGTTCTCCCACCCACAGGTCATTTCATTTCATGTAGACTTGCAGCTGAGCAGAATGCTGCAGTCCAGGGACAAACCTGAGTTGGAGCAGGTTCCCAGGTAACTCTAGCTACCACCTGGGCTCATGCTGCAGAGTTAGAGGGCATTGTGTTATGAGGCTCAGGTCCTGTCCCAAGCAGATTCAGTGACAAAGAGCCCTCCTCCCCATCCTGCCACAGATAGACAGACACACAACCTCTTTCATTTTTACTCTTCAGTGTTCTTTGGCTTCGAGTTCTGGCGAAACAGACTTTTGCTATTTCCTGTGTGATTGCTGATTTGCCCTTCTTCCAGGCCCTAGTAATAAAAGGCAGTTTATATAGGGCACAGTGATTAAGGCTGAGGGGAGGTGGCCATTAGACTGGGGAGAGATGTACGTTATCAACACCTAGAGATTAGTCAGCTGTAGCCCAGTGCCTGTGCTGATAATAGACAGAATATTTTACCTCAGTTAGAGGGGACTTGCCCTTGTCTGGTGTGGTAGAACACACCTTCAATCCTAGCACTCAGGAGGCAGAGACAGGTGAGTTTTAAGCCAGCCAGGGCTATATACTGAGATATGATGATGATGATGATGATGATGATGATGATGATGATGATTAGGAGGAGGAAGAGAAGGAGGATTAAACAACAGGAAGAGCACTAAGATCTTAGTGGAAGGGACAGACTACGGGCAATGGGGAACTTCTTATTTATTTGTTCATTTAAATTTATTATTTGTGTGTGTGTGTCCCTGTGTGTCTGTGTGTATAGGTCAGAGGATAACTTTGTGGAGTTGGGTTCTCTCCCTTCATGTTTATGTGGATTCTGGGAATCAAACTGAGGTCATCGGGCTTGCTTAGCAAGCACTTTTACCCACTGAGCCGTCTTGATGTTCTCTTCTTTATTCACTTTTTGAGACAGGGTCCCCTGGAGCCCAGGCTGGCTTCAACTTGTTATGGAGCCAAGCATAACTTTCAACCTCTGATCCTCCTGCCTCTACCTCCTGAGTGATAGAATTACAGGTATGCAGAACTATATCTGGTTTATATGGTGCTAGGTTTGGGCCCAGGCCTCCTCCATGTTAGGCAGGTACTGAGCTATATCTCCAGCTCGGAAACTCTTGAAATCAGATTATTAAAAGGCATATCTGGTGGAGGAAGGGTCTGGATTCTGATGGGTTTTCAATGAGGATTATGTCTTTAACCCATTGGGATGGATTACATTAATTCCTATCAACATATTGACTATAGAAATAATTAGGTTTCAGGAGCACAGGTAAGGAGCTGGATAGTTGGAGGTCTTTGTTCTGAGTATTGAGTTACTTATTACATTAGTCTGTATCCCAGATGTTTGATTGGAGAACTGTCCAGGTACATTTTCTAGTCAATGATACTAAGATAGAAATCAAATGGAATACATTTTTGTGTGTTTCATTGTTGTTTTGTTTTGGTTTTGGTTTTAGGGGACATGGTCTCACTCTGTAGCCCAGGCTAGCCTAGAACTCACTATGTAACCAAGCTGTCCTCAAACTGGTAGCAGTCCTCCTGTATCAGCCTGTCAGAGAAATGCTGAGTCATCATGCCTGGAGAAAATGGTTTTGATACACTTGAGGAGCATTGAGAATGAAACTCACTGAGGGAAATGAGTCCAACTTCCCATCTGAACATCTGTACAGGCATAAGAAATGGCTATGCATGGTCACAGTGCAACAGAAAGACTTGGGGTGGAGGCTGACTAAGGTTCTGAAGCAGTGGTTGGAGCTGCCTGTCCAGGACTGCAAATGTGAGTTTAAAACATGGAGGTACAAGGCAATGCTGTATGGTTATCATTGGCCAGATCTTTTCCAGAATGTCTTTCTAGCCCCAAAATCTTCAGAATGATGAGTCTGTGGGTAGATTTGGAGACGGGCCCACAGATAAAGGAATTTGGGGATGAAACTTGTGGGGAGTAACTTGGAATTCATAATTATTTTTTCATATGTAAGAAGCTCTGATGTGAAGCCTGGTTCCAGTCCTTAATCTTTGCTGGGAGTGGAATGGTGTTCTAGCAGCATTTGGTGAGACATAGGGAGTACTTGCCTGACAATGAGTCTTTAATGGCAAGATGAGCTATTGAGGGAAGGTTCTGATACATTGAAGAGACTTTCAAAGCAGGCTGTATTTTCATTTCATTAGGATGGCTTAGGTTCATTTCCAGGGTCCTAGCTGATGGCCAAGTGGAGAAATTGATAGTTATTCAGAGTCCCTGTTGTCCCCCATTGCCCTGCCTGCAGTAGTCCACTTGTTTGTGTTTCCCAGAGGAGCTTCCTATGCCACAGAATGCACCAGCTCCCCTGCCCTGACTGTGACCCTTGTCAGGTCAGCTGTGGCCCTGCAGATGCACTGGTCTAACTAGAATCCATTTCTTTGTTCTCTTCTCCTTTGTAGTATGAGTTTAAAGCCAAGAACATCAAGAAGAAGAAAGTGAGCATCATGGTTTCAGTGGATGGTGTGAAAGTGATTCTGAAGAAAAAGAAAAAGGTAAGTGACTAAACCAGAATTTGGTCAAGAGGGAAGCTTGGGAAGGTAGGCATAGGATAATTTTTCCTCTAGAACACTCTGTACAGAATTACCCCTTTATCTAGTGGTCTCTGTTTTGACTAGCAATAATGCTGCTAAACCACAGCTGGGGTGGAGTATGAGACAGAGGTCAATGGCCTGGTGAGACATTGCCCAGTCAGTCTTGATGGCCCATAGGCAATAGGCCATCTCCCAGCAGCCCCCTCCTCATATTCAAAGCCTTGGTTCTGTTTGGATAACTTTACTTTTGAGGTGTGTGTGTGTGTGTATGTGTGTATGTGTGTGTGTGTGTGTGTGCGTGTGTGTGCGTGTGTGTGTGTGTTTTGGGGTTTGGGGACTGGGTGTACTATATATCCCAGGCTGGACTTGAATTTGCAGCTGAAACTCAAATGCTTCAAATTCTGAAAGACTTTAGATATCATTTCAATACTCTAAAATTTTCTGATGTTGGGGCCTTATGGATTTCAGATTTTTCAGATGTAGAGATGGGTCAACTGCTTTATGTAAATATTCCCTGATCCACCCCCCATCCCAAACAAAAACAACAGCAGCACTGCCAGGTGAGGGAGAGTTGGTCTTGAAGGGACTGACTCTAGATGGGTTGACCAGACCCCAGTGGATAAATTTGCACTGAGGGATGTCTGGGTACAGTTACTTGACTCAATAGGCCTTAACATATATGACAGAATGCATGAAATTTGGTGGGGGAGATATGAGGGATTTGGATGGGGGAGGGGGGTATAAAGATGATTAAGATGTTTTGTTTTAAATGCACAAAAATTCAATAAAAATATACATAAAAAAGAATTTTTAAAACACCACCACCATGAACAACAAAAACCTCTAAAATTTGAAGCTTGGTAGTGTTGTGTTTTAGATAGAGGTGATTAACCTGCAATTAATAGCAGGTTTCAGAGGGAGAGTGCATAAGAGGAGACAGCCACCTGGAGCAACCCTCAGTCCCCACCCCAGGTGTTCCCTGAAGCCCTAGTATGCTTCCTGTGGCCTCCTGTCACAATTGCTACAGTCAGGGACATCCTTCCTGCCTTCTCTCCACCCTCACCTATGTGCATGTTTCATAGTCCTGAGAGTATCTTCTCTGGGGAGTTCTGGAGTAAGAGAGTTAATGAACAAGCTGATGCCTGTTAAGGTCCTGGGCTTGGAATCATCAGTGAGGGCAATGTTAACTTGAGTGACAGATATTTGAGGGGAGGTGGTACAACCCATATTCCTGGTTCAAGGAGACTGGCTTATGTAACCAACTGATAACATAATTGCCATTTACGAACATTTTCTAGGTGATAAGATGTTTTCACATCCATTGTCATCCAGCCCTCCATCAGGTACTGTGTTCCTCTTAGCTGGTGATTGTCTCACAGACCTTTCTCTTCCCTTGATATTTGCTAAGCTGTCCGCCTGTCAAATCACAAAACCCAGGCAGCATTGCAGAAGAGGGGGCAGAGAGATTATAAGAGACTGAGGATGTGCACAAGAGTATGGAATGCTGTCTTCTGGATATGACATGGCTGTTCCAATCTGAACACATAGCAGCTATGGCAGCCTGCACAAGATCTGCACAGAAAAGAGATGGTAAAGTAGGAGGAAGCACGGTTAGGGAGAAGAGGGGTTCTGCAGGAATGGGAAGGGGGTGAGAGAGGGCAATGGGGTACATATGATCACAATTCCATTGTATACATCCATGAAACTCTGAAAAATCAAAAAAGGAAAAAAGACAAACTTATTACTCCTATCTTAAAAAAAAAGTCCAGACTCATCGGTTTTGAGGTTTTGAACCTCAGGATGCCTAGTCTGAGTCACACTGACTAGCTCAAAGGAGGTAGATGTACAAATTGGACAAATAGATTCTTAATTCTCACTGAAACAGAATTATTTCCTGGACCAGACATTATCTTGAAAAATACATATTTTCTGTCTGTTGGAAATAAACCACATGAGGAGGGGGAATCAGGGTAGGGTTACTAGGTAGAGAAGTTGGCCTATTTTATGATAGGAATGTTGAAACTATTAGATGTTTATAGTGACTTTATTGGGAGATACAATTCCCTGGGTCTGTTTGACAGGCCTGGCCAACGTTTCCCCACATGACATTGTAACTTCTGTTCTCTGAATCTCTGCACCACCTCAATGCACATATTACTTTCACTTAGGTTCCTGGGAGCTATTATGTTCCTTTTGGATAACTTGGTGTACCTTTGATGTGCTCCACAATGGAGCAACTTCAGCTTTTGTCCCTAGAGAACAATCTAATTTCCCATCTCACCCCTGGCTCTTCCTTGTATCAGTTACCATGTGTGGTACCATCTCCATCCTGTATTGGAAGGCAGGGTCGATTGCATATCGATAAGGGCAGCAGGATGCTGGGGTGTTACCTGAGAGATAAGCCACCCCACCCCCTCTTTCCCTAAGTACATGAAAGCAAGGTGAGAGCAGCATGTCCCCAAGGGAGCCCTGGGACTTACTCTGAAACTGCATGCTTGGTAATCTCCAGTGTTTTCCCTCCTGTCCTGGGAAAGAGGTGATGTGGCAGGTCGGTCCTAGATCTGATTCCTCCCATGCCAGCTTGGGAAAGAGGAGCCTCCCATCTTGTTTCCTCCACCCACGCCTGCCTGGTGTCCGTTTCAGGGCTGGGTTGTGATATGGATAATGTCTTTAATCACAGTGTGCATATTCTCCTGCCTCTGGCAGATGAATGCACATTAGCAGTAATCAGCCTTTTTGTCATCTGGTTCCCATGTGACAGCCCTGGTAGCTGAGTGTGCTGCCACCAAGCTCAGCCACACTTTCTTTCTGTTGTAGAGTTGGGAAAGGCAGGAGTAGCTGTCCCACACTGTAAATGTTTAGTTTCTTCCAAGAGAATGGAGCAGTCAGCTAGTGCCAGTAATGGCCACTGTAATTGAATGAAGGCCTAATCCTCCTGCCAGCTAGCCTTAGGCAGAGAGCAGCACGGCTTATGTTCAGCTGTCAGCAGCACCACTATGTGTAGCCTGGCATTTCTGCTGACTACTTGGTAATTATCTGGTGAGATCTTGAGTAGTCTTCTCCTCCTGCAAACAATGTCTTGATTTTTACTGGGTCGGTGTGACATGTTGGAACGAGCCCTCAGCAGAGGCAAGAAGACCTGGGTTCTGGTCCTGGCACCACCCTTCCTGGCGTGTGCTAAGCAATTTGTTTTGAGCTTTAACTATGAAATGAAGATCTGGGTTCGGAAATCACTATGATTTTTTCAGGTTAGATCTTTGCACAAGCTTTGGATCTCTGCTTCTTAATGCCTGTTAGTCTTCAGACCTCTGAGGACCTTCTGGGCTGCAGAGAAAGCAGACCTCAGAGGCCAATGGGCCTTGTTATCTTCCAATCTTCTGGCCATCTGGGAACTCTCTGAGGTCACACACCTCCTAGAGCAGCACTGAGGCCTCCTCTGTGTCCTAGACCACCCATAACTGACCAGTTGTGGAGTGCTTCTCAGTGGAGGGGATGTTTACAAGGGGCTCCTGCCTCCTAATGAACTTTATAAGGCAGGACCATCTTTGTAAGATCAACATTATCCTTGGTTGGCCTGATACAGCCTGTTTTCAACAACTGGCTTTTGACTACTTGGATGAATGAATGTTATTTGTGTGTGATAGTGTCATTAAATCTAGAAGAAATTAGCAGCTATACGTAATGAAGTCTTAGTTTGTTACTTTAGGTTATCACATTATTCTCCTTTTCTCCTCTGTCAAAATATCAGCTTAAAAAGTGGGAGCAGGAAGCTGGGGAGATAGTTTGGTTGGTAATGTACTTTGCTTTTAAGCATGAGGACCTGAGTTAAATCCCCAGAACCAATGTAAAAACAGCTGAGCACGGGGGCTGGAGCAAGGGCTCAGTGGATAAAGCACTTACTGTGTAAGTGTGACCACTGGAGTTCATATTCCCAGCACCCATGTAAAGTCAAGAAGGTATGTTGGCTGCCTGTAATCCCAGCACTAGGGAGGTGGAAACAGGGGAGGAGGGCAAACTGGCAAACTAGACTAACTGGAATCAGCAAGCTTTGGGGTTCAGCAAGAGACTCTGCCTCAATAAATTAAGTAGAGAGTGACTGAGGAAGACACCAACTTTGGGCCTCCACATGCACATATACATCTGTGCACAGATGCAAAACAAGCATATACACATTACACTTATATATATGCAAAAAAAGCCAGTGTGGTGGTACATGTGTAATCCCAACAATGGATGGAGACAGCTGGATCTCTAGTGCTTGCTGGCTAGCCAGCATGGCCTACCTGATAAGCACCATGTCAGAGAGAGATCCTGTCTCAAAAAAACAAGGTGGACAGCTCCTGAGGAACAGCTCCTGAGGCTGACCTCTGACCTCCATGTGCAAATACACACACACACACCAGGCATCAGAGCCTTTCTCAAGCACTTCTGTAAAAAGGCTTCAATAGAAGTCACTAGCATATTTCGTAGTGGGTGACTGATCTCCAGGTGCAGTATCCAGGCAGTAGCCAAATATGCTACAATCCTCTCATTGAGATGTAAAATCCATCTTTTTGGTGATGTTAACAACTGTCTAAAAATTCTCTCTTCTTGAACTGATGCCAGCAGATCATGAATCACAAATTCCTTCTGAGTCTTGGGTTGAATTTGAAGTACAAGCCCAGTTGCTAAGATAATTGGCCTTGCTTTGATGTGTCTCAATCAGGGCATTCTCTTCAGTATAAAAGAGGCACAAGTAGTTATCTTGTCTGTGGATCTAATAATGATTATTGTTATAATTCTGGAATTACACAGCACTATTTACTAAGGAGTAGAATCCTGACTAAGATTAATCTTGAACTTCATCCAAGGGATCTTTCTACTAAACAGCTCAATTTTATATGATTTCTCTTGTAAGACACTAGCTTTGTTGGGAATCCTCTAAGGTGACAGGTTAGAAAGACTTCAACATTCTTATGACC